CAGCAGGGCTCACGAGCAAAAAGCATACTGCAAGAAGAGTTATTTCTGGTACGAATGTCATCTGCTTTGTTTTTGGATGTGCAGAAGCCTAGGCCTGTGGGAAAAAGAATGATCAGAGCTTTAAGTCTTGCTAGGGAGAACAGGCCTCTACCTCCATCCTATAAAAGCAGCAATTTTCCAGTGACTATAATCTCACCAGAGCTAGTCACCCCACCAGAAATACTTACCTGAGTCAGAATTTCTGACGCAGAAACACTTGCCAGGGTATCTCAGGATATGAGAAGGCTGAGATACTTGAAAGGAGCCCCTATTTTGTAAAGGATTGGCTTTAGCTATTTCTCCAGCTGAGTTCATTCAATACATCAGGATGCAGGGACGTAGTCTACAAAGGACACAGACCTATACCTGAAGGTAAAGAAAACTTACTTGCCACAGAAGTCCTTGTGAATGGCACGGAGGACGAGTAGTAAGTTGGCGTGTGCCTGTAGCCAGTTCTCCACCATATTTGGGTGCCTGGGATCAACTTCCAGAAACACACTCCTGAAAGGACACATTTGGGAGTAGAAAGTGGGGAGATGCACACATTTAGATTGCAAAATTAAGGTCTGTCTTTCTGGATGAATCCTACAGTGCAGGAAATGAGAAGGTCAGCAAACACACGCAACCCAATAATCCTAAAAGAGATCATAGCTGTCCATTTAAGATGCAGACCCCAACAGCCTCCTTCAGGAGGAGAAACTGCTGATCTTGGGGGGAATTCTCATGGTACTCCTCTGTGTGAGCAGTTAAACCCTTGTATTGAGATGAAAGGATCCCTTCTGAACATCATGCAGAGATACTGCCAGCTCTGTCTTTCTGAAGCCCTCAAAGATTTAAGGCCAGAATGAAGTTTTATGATGCAAGTGCATGAACACTGAGTGCTGGACCAGCAGCATGAAGTTCCTCTTTGAATAAGCAGGGTGACATTAAGTCCCAGTAGCTAGAGTCATAAAGTACAAGTTAGTACACACATTTTCCCACAGTAAATGTCTCCATAAATCAGTTGTGAAAACACCACCACCATTCAGACTTACACAGAGGACTGTGAAAAGGAGAGTGCAGCAGGGATAAAGGAACTAATCAGATGACCTCTGTTAGTGCACCAGGACTAGGCCTGGACACTGCAGGGCTATTTCCATCTCTGCTGCATCCAGGTTTTGTGACACTTTGTGTGACACTGCCCATTTCTGACACTCCGCTCCCGCAACAAGGCAGAACTACCCTAGCTTACAGGCACATGGAGGCAATGGAACTGGTTACGGTGTGTGACAGCACAGCAAGATAGAAATTTAACAGGCAAAGAGCAGAGGACAAGCCCCAACCATATGCTCTCCTGAGAATTCCTAAAAAGTCCCATGCTGAATACTCCCTACAAATTCACCAAACTAACTACAAGCTGGGTGTGGATCTCATTCCTGACCTTAAAAAGCTTCTACTCCTCAATGGAGGTCCACCTTATAAAACAAGCAAAAAGGGAAGGAAAAAAAATAATCCTAACAAACAACCCCACAGGACCAAACTCTGCTGCTGGGAAGGTCTGAGGAGCATCTGCTGCTCTTGTGGTCATGCAAACCGTGAGGAATGAATTCTTCTGCATGCTGTATGCCTCTCAATATTCCTGTTCCTCAAAACAGCAGATTTTCAATGACCTCTCTTATGCTCATAAAATGCCCGGAATTTTCAACAGGATATGTGAATGTCCTGGCACAACAGACTTTTGAGTATCAGCATGTTGATCTTTAAGCACAAAATGGATCTCACATGACAGAGAACAGGAACAATCAGTCTTGAGTATTAACCATGGAGAAATTTAACACTTAAGAAACTATCCATGGCTGATCTTTTCTCCTGGGATATCCAGCATTATATCCTGGCACAATAAACAAGTTTCCCCTAATTAAAAGGTGGGAGGGAAATTGAGATCTACATCCATTCTCACAGAGTTCTATATTGATTCTCCTTCAATCAGTTATTCTGCTTAGAAAGCTGTTCTTTTTTTTTTTTTTCTTTCACTCTCCCACATTCTTTTTATTGCTGCTTTGACCTTTAAAGATTCCCACTTCACTAATGACTATGAAATACACCACTGGTCAAGGAAGGCTCGTATCCCTTTATTAACCAATTTCAAACTAATTTTGCTTACACACATGACATTTTTTAAACTGCTATTATTAGATGGGGCAGAGGTAGGGAACAGAACATTTTTGCAACTATTTTCCCTCTGTACCTTCCTGTACGAAAAGAAAACAGAAGTTATAGAATTGAATGGATAAAAGACATGAAATTCAAACAGAGAACAGTACTTACCCAGAATCCTTCAGAAGAGAAGGAGCCAAAGCCAGAATTGTTTTGATGACTCTCATCCCATCATCTCCCCCATCTAGTGCATCAAGGTCCTCATAGCTGGAGTGTGGGAATAAGAAGACATTAACAGCAATTCATGTGGCATGAGTCACACCCTTGAAGATGCATTGCCCCACACTCCATGGAGAAAGGTGTGTGGAGAAACCTAACACACCTGAACTCCAGAACTATAGCAGGTGACAGCACTCATAGCTTTTATGTAAAATACAGGGAGTAAGAAAGCAGCTACCACTAGGCTGAGAAACCCCACATTGAGCACAAGCAGAAAACATCCCCTGAACGCTTCCTGAAAATTACAAGCCAACTGCAGCCAGGGTCACACAGTTCCAACACATGGACCTGTTCTCTCTGTGCTAGCTGGACAGGGAGAGACTGGGTTCTACGGCAAGGGATCACTTGCTTCATTTCAACCACGCCAAAAACCAGGTTGGACTCTCTTCTAACCTAGCAGACCGAAGTAGGATGTAGAAAGCACAGCTTTCAGAATCTGTTTTGGTGCATCTTGTACAGAGGTGGGTGCAGGACTTTGTGGGTGCAGGACAGACAATCAATTCTGAGGAAGAACCAGTACACACAAAGTAGTTCCACATCCCAAAAGAGCTTATTCATGTTTTTGTGGGTTTGTTTGCTTGAGACAAGTATGGGGATGAGAATGGGTTGCAGCATTTCCACCCAAGTTTTTATTTCCATCACAAAAAGCTGCTCAGGTTACTTGTACTTTCTTTCATAAACACACACCAATTATTTAAAAAATTTTAAAAAAGGTCTAACATGAAAAACGTTCTGAAAGAGTTTTGGATTGGAAACTTGTTAATTTCAAAGTTTCTGCTTTTTCCATTTTTATAAATGTTTAAAATACTTCAATACTGTTTCAGACCTGTGAGCAGTATCAAAGTAACACTGTATTATATACCATATAAACATATTTATATACAATATAAATACACCTACACTATGTACATGCATACCATATTTGCATGTTTTGTGTGCAACTGTGTGTATTAGAAGGAAGCAGACAGAAAACCTTGCTTCAAGGAACAGAAGAATAATCTATTTGTCTGATTACCGGAGGATTTCTGCATCCAAGGAAGCCATGTCTTCATGGAAGACATATGGGGGGTTACTGACTATGAAGTCTATGGGGCCCCAGAGTAGCAGCTGCTTGGCAGAACCTAGAAAAGAAAAAGAATCACTACCAGCTCTCAACCATAGCAATCTTCCCTGTACGCTCAGTGTCACAGTCCCATCCAGGAAACTGTCTCTCCAGGCACATGCCCATGCGTGTTTGGCTCTGCTTTTCTCTAACAAAATTTTACCCTATTTCTTTTTGGGATAGCCTGGCCTGCTCAGTCTCTCACCTTGAATGCAAGAGTGATACAAAGCTAAGCACAAGCAAAGTCTCATTTTTTCATATCAACAGCCCCTCTTAGTGGAACATGTTATAAAGCACAGGACCTTGATGGTCTGCAGCTCTGTGCCCATCTGGATCTAAAGCAACAACTGGAACTTGAGAGAGCCCACAAAGACTTAAGTGGGAGCTTAGACTAGCTGTCAGGATGCATATCCTTCCTCTTACCAGAGCTGCAGAAGGATCTCTAATGAACAAAAGAGCCAGGCCCTCTCAGCAGTATCAACCATCTAATGGTTTGCTCTTCTGCAGACAAGGTTCATCTCGCTACGCTTGTGCTACTGTCTGGATACCGTCTAGACTGACACATCCCAGCCCTGAATCAGACATCGTGTAACCACATGAGTGTGGCACTGTCCACAAGCCAGCCTCTTGGCACAGGGCTCACCCACGCAGGTGCAATGCCAACGCAGCTAGGTGGCTTTTGGATTGGAGCTGGCTGGCTTACTGCTGTTTGGAGGATGGGCAGCACAAACTCAGATTTGCAGATAGAGACTGTGCAGACACACCCCTAAGAGGTAGTAGAGTATCAAAAACAATAGTGTCAGAAAGGTCCACTAATGAATCTACAGTTTTGGAGCTCCTGGCTAAGAAACGGCTGAGCGCATATCTACCTAACTGGATAAGCCGCAACAAATGGCAGTTTTAATTGGTTTCAGCCAGGTCCAAGGAAGAAAACAGGTATCCCCCCCTGGTTCAGCTCACATAATTTCAGGTGGATAAGGCTGGGCATTTAATCTAAGCTAAATATCTGCGCTCCCTCTAACATCAACGGAGAGACAGACACATGCATGTTTATCTAAAGCATCCATGTGAGCATGGAATGAATTACACCCTGTATATATTTGTCTCTCCCCAGTAACACTAGAGAGCACCTGGACTACCAGATCAGACACAACCTTTAGACACCTAAAATGAGGAACAATTCACTTTCTGACGTAGCCAGGAACTTCTCTCAGCTGATCATCTGGCCTGGAAATCTCTGAAGGGAAAACCTTCACTGTCTCACTTCTTACTGACCTTTTTCTCTGTTAACTTCAACACCTTCCTGACGCTTGCAGCCCAAAGGGGTCCCCTAGCTCTCTCTCACACCTTCCTCCCCCCATCAAAGTAAAAAGGGAGAAAAACAAAGGGGATTGTAACAGTGAAAAGAGTTACTGTATGAAACATCATGGTGGAGGATGTGGATCCTCTCCTGGAGTTGCAGCCTGTCAGGTTCCAGATGGAAGAACAGAAAAAAGAAAGATTAGGAGGCATGTTTGTGTGTATTCATGGACAGCACATTCTATAAACAAATCATTAAGTAGCACATCTCTTATCTGATACACGTACATCCTACCCCACTGACTGCAGCTGGATTCCTCTCAAGCCACAAGGGAAGCTTAGGACCTGCTCTTTGCCCGAAGCAAGAGCACACTGTGCACCTATGGTAATTCCAGGGTGCAGCTCCTATGTACTCAAAACCTATATGTATCACCCCTTGCTGTACATACAGCAGTGTTCCCCCACCCTGCTACATATTAAATACATCTCCAAGGCCTCCCACAGGTAAGCTCACCATCCCCAAAGAAACCAAACAAAACCAAAAAACACAACAAACAATAAAAAACACACAATAAAATCACCTGCTTCAAATATGTAAACCTGCTATTGTAAGTGGAGACAATATGCTCATGTTTGCTACATTCTTTCTCCAGCCTCCTTGATAATCTAGATCTTCTGGCATCTGAGAGTATTTTGTAGGCGTCTATGGATCTCCTCTCACATGCCAACATTAAAGTGATGAGATGTTACTGAGCACTATAGGGAGGCCAGCACATGCAGTGCAGCAGAACCCCTGTGCCAGACACAGAGCTAGGAAAAGGGCCCCTTTTAGGGACATCTCACACACAGACTGTACAGTAAAATGTATTTAAAATACACACTAGGATCCCTCAAATACTAGTTTCTAATTCATGATCTCTCTTGTCCCTGACATCTCTGTGCACATTAATTGGGAAACACACGTTATGGTCAGTGCCTTCCACCTGCAGCCAGACCAGCTGCTCACACCAGCAGAACCCCTGAAGGCACCAGAAGACACAAACACCTTTCCTTTACCTGTGACAAGTGAGCAATGAAGAATGCTGGCTTGCTATTTTTAAGAAAAAGAAACAGGTCTATAAAGGCCTCAGTATTTCCTAGGGAGAAATCTTGACCAAGAGTCTGATCTCTGTGATTCACTACACTAATCCAAGGTAGAACAGTCCTGAGACTGCCAGACTGCCACTGCACAGTGCTTATGGTGCTCCAGTCTGTCACAACCTGGCATGATCCATCCCTAGCTTGCTACAGAATATGCTCCCTGCCAGGGGAAAAATAGTTGATACAGTGATCCCCTTGAATCCGAGGAATCTTGAGCAAAGCTCCCAGATGTTCCTGGGACAGGAAAGAGAGGCCAGTCTGAAAGTAGCCTTGGTGCTTGGTGGTAGCCTGACACTACAGAAGGGGTCACAGAAACAGAGAGCAAGAGACAGCAAGGAAGGAACAGCAAGGAAGGAACCTCTAATTCCTCAGCTACATAATCCACCCATCAAAATATCTCTTTTCTCACCAGTTTTGCTTCTGGCTTTGCTGAAGACATTTGAGCAATGTCAGAGGAAGCACTTTGCAAAGTCTGAAAAACAAGGCTGGTCAAGATCTGCTGTTGGAGAAAGACTTCAAGCCTCCCACAGGAGGTCCCATTCTGGGAGCAGCAACATCACGTTCTGGCAGAGAGTCTACACTGTCCTCTAACTCCTGCCCTAAGTGCAGACAATGTCTAGAGAAACAAAAGTGCCCAGCTCTTCCCAGCATGTTCTCTCTTCCTACCACAGTGGCAGATTCTTCCTCCCAGCTCTGCAGAGTAACACCTCAGGGCTGCCCAACAGGGTTCATAGAGCATGCTGCAGCAAAGGCCTTACACCCAAGTCCTATTTGCCTTTGCTGAGGGCCTGTGGTACTGCCCTGTCAGCATACACAGGTATCAAGGAAAGGGAGGGATTCCTACATCTGTCTGCAGTGTGCCCAGATGGGCCATCTGGCACCGGGATTGATTTAGCGAGAGCAAGACTCACCTAAGCGTCTAGAGAACATAGCTGTGATAAAGGAGCTCTGAAAAGAAGGCAGGAACCAAGCTGGTTTCAGTCAAGCAGTAACACAGCTTATCCTACTGGCTTCTGTCCCAAGAGCTACAGGGCACCGTGCCACAGACAAGATCACAAGGACGCAATGAAAATATCCATGGAGAAATATGAGGTTCTCTGGCACAGCATTTACACTCCCTCATCCACTTCTGAGCCAAAAAAAATGTTAATAAGCAAGACAATTTTTCCCAGATGCCAGAGCAATAATCTATCAAAGAGGCAAAGATCTGGCCAGCTTTTATTGTATCTGTGAAAAATTGCAACAGAACTTGGTTTGACACTGACACATCAGAAGGAAATCTCTGCTCCTCATTCCCTATAACTGGACCAGGAGATAAAGAGTAATAGTGAACTGACAAGTTTGAGAGGGGGTTGTTCCTACACATCACTTCAGACTCACATAAGAGCTTGGGAGTGAGTTGCAAGAAGTGAAGAGATGCAGCTCAGTGCAGCCAGAAACAGAAGTATCCTGTCTCTGTGGCCCCAACGCTACACAAAACCCACAATTTTTTCTCAAACCATAGTTTACAAAAAACGGGTAATATGCGGGCTTGTACCTATGTGCATTCTCCCTGGTGAGATCCACAGCAGCCTTCTCTTTATCCACGGCTATCACCTGGCTCTAGGACAGAAAAAGCAAAACAAAACAAAACACCAAACAAGTATTACAGGATCCAGGTTCCTGAGCAGATACGCTCTGCCAAAAAGGACACGCAAGATAAAAATTGACAATTGACTATTCACTCTCAACTCTTGAAAGGAATAGCTTATAAAGAACGCATCTCAGGGTACTGATGGGATCATGAGCCACTTCTAGTAAGGCCGTTAACATGACAGAAGGCACTCTGCAACACTGCCAGTAGCCTACCAAAATATACAGGCTTCTGACCAGACCAACTCAGCTGACAACAATGAAGTCACACTGGCTCACATCACCTGATATGTTCATGGCTCCTAGTAGTATGAGATTTAACACTCTGGCTGGTCTCAGGTAGACACAGGTTAAAGGAAGATCATGTCCTAGGCTTCTCCTCTCTAGTGTGGACAGAATCCCTCCCAGCATTACCACCACCGCTTTAGACAGAGGTTCTGGTGTTTTCCATCTGTTATGCAGACACCTTTTGCCTAGTTACTCCACTAGGCAGCCCTTGAACCCCATTCACTGTGTGTACTGACTGCATATACTTGACGATGTGTCAAGTATTTGAGAGTCCTCCAGCGTAACATTAAGAGATACGTCTACACAGTTACGAGATTTGTTTGACCTTCCATTCCACCTCGGGAAAAGTGCAAGCAAAGGCCTGACTTGTTTTTGCTTTGCTTAAGTTTTTTTAAACACAAATGTTGGTAAGTATTTACATAGAGAAAGCATGCTTAAAGAAACTACTTTGCATTTGGAGATGATGGTGTAATTGGCCATCATTCGTAGCAGGATTAATTTCACACCTGAGACTAGCACCCACACACATGAAGCTGACCCTTAAGGTGAAGGACACAACTGAATCCGTAAGTGAAACGCTGCTGTTTTCTCGGTACCATAGTGCCAAATTCTGCCTCAAACACTAAAGAGATCACACAGAGTGTAAACTCCACCTAGCTGTCAGTGTGTCTACCACTAACTCTAATCAGTTAGAAATAACTCTTTACTCCTCTGGGCACAGCAGTTTGTGTTAGGCAGCTTGGTGAGGACTGTTATCAGTTACAGGGACACACTGACACAGCTCTTTAACTTAAAAGGCAAGAAAAAGAGCATGAAGTACAGCTCAGGAAACCAGAGCAATTACACTTTGAAGTCCTGAAGCTCAAGTATTAACCTTATCAGTTCACTGGGAGGAAGAACACAGGCATCAACTTCTAATGTTAATCAACTTCTAATTCTTACACACCAAGACTTATACTTCTACAAGAGAAGGGGCTGGCCGCAGCAATTCTCATTCATGAGAAGGAACTGGCTGGTCTGCAATTCTGAGGAAAGGGGAATATTTTCCCCTTAATCACATGCTATGAGACCTTGGATTCATTTCTCTCTGTTTACCAACACTATCTCAGCAGCATGTTACGCGCCACAATAATCAGGGGCAAGAAGGGCTTTGGTCACCCAGATCTTAGTCCCCTTCCTGCTCTTTTCACTCTGTTCAAAAGGTGTGAGTTGTTATTAGGGAACAAAAGACTTCAAAAAAGTGGTTGGGCAGTTGTTGCAGTGTGACATATTGTGTCATCTTGATACCAAGCACTGACACTTCTGTGGTAATCCCTTCCCTGTATTCATTTAGTCTTCAGTCTCGTAGAGACAGGATCTTTTGATTCACAGCAAAGTGATTTTTAGAGATGACTGCCCCTTAAATTGAACTGACAGAGTGTGTGCCCATGCCTCAGTCCCTCTTGTACACAGCCCAGGATATTAGTTTAAACCAACACTCACCAGTGCTTCAGGTTAAGGTGATTAACAGTGAGCTGTGACAGCTGAAGAATGAGCACATTTGCTTCTTTCATTCTGACTATGTCTCTGCTACTCCTGCAGACAACTGGGGAGAGCAATTCCTACATATCCCTCTTCTACCTAGCATGAACTTATAGAGCCTGACTGACAAAGACCTTAGCTGCTAAGTCCCACTAAAGCAAAGAATTTTGTCTGTGAAGTCTCAAGGAAGACTAGTAGAGTGGAATTGTCCTGTAACATGGGCATCTATTGTACCATGAGCACTGAAAAAAAGCTCACCTGTGGCAGTTTGCACAACAGACTCAGAGCAATTGCTCCAGAGCCACAGCCAACCTCTAGGATCAAAGGATGAGGGACAGGAACTGGGATGCACAGGCCTGAATTCTTCTCACATTTCCGAGATTCTTCCTCCACAACTAACGAGACGAGATCCTAACAGAAACAAAAAAAACCCGAAGAAACAAAAAATTTGTCAGGGAGCTGTTTTGGCTCACACCTTTATGGTCCGAGGACTGGACTTGAAATTTCCTGACTCTGTAGCCCAAGGAAATATATTTTTGTTGCTGATTTTTAAAACACAGATGGCAGCAATGGACTTCTGACATGCCAGAAGTCACTTCAGATCCATCTACCTCACACGGTGCTTTGATTAGTAACCAAATCCTCAGGATACAATTTCCCACAGATCCTCTGAAATCTTCTAGCACTGTTGGGAAAAACAATAACCAAACAAATGCAGCATATTATCTTCTGCAACACCATTTTATTTACTCCAAAATTCCAGCTTTCAGAATTTGTAAGCTTCAAAATTTAAGATTCCTACACTGTCTCAGTATGGTGTGTAACCTGGAGGCAGAGGTACAGCTCCTAACAGCATCTAATCCAATAATCCGACTTGCAGATGAAAAAGCAGAGGCAATGAATTACTAAGTGATCTAAATGAGCAGCTCCCTGCATGGATTCCACGTTGTGGACTCCTACGACATTTGGTTGGTATTAAACTCGCATGGAAAATATTTTCATCCATGCTCCTGGATCTGTACACGTTTCTGCCATCGCCGCCTCCTCCCTCCCATCAATCTCCTCTTTTTTAAATCCCTTCACAATTTCATATGAAACCCAACACAGCAGGAGAGGTCTCAAAGATACACAATCCTAAGGTTTGTGAAAATGAATGACTCGCTACAAGAGAAAGCACACATGTGCCTCCCTCAGACTGCAGCATGAACTTCCCTTGCTATTCACTGGAGAAAACTATAAGACAGAAACTTTGTAAACACCTTGAGGGCATCAGCAGCTTCAGCAGGTGCTCACAGTTCCCTGCAATCCCTGTGCTTTCATGGCACAACAGTGTAGAAAAAGGCCATACTGCCCAAGGTGCTCCCACGATGGCTAGGTTATTTCACTTGAGAGCTCTGCTCTTGGAGCTCCCTGCTAAATCCAGAAAGCTCAACAAAATTTACAGAGAATAATGGGTTTGATTTTGCTAACAGGTAAAAATTAAAGACATTACCAGGAAAATTACCGGCCTTCCATTTTTACAGGGAGTCTTGCACGTTCTTGCCATAAACAGGAATATTGAAAAGCAACACATCCTGGCAGGCAGGTCAGCTTCTCTTCAGTAAAGCAATAGTCTTTTTCAGGAGGCTAAACTGGGCAGGCTTGTATATAAGGGCATAAGCCCTTCTTTGGATATACCACCCTAACTGGGGTGCAGTGCAATAGATGCCTTGTGCAAAGCTGAAGTTTTTATGAAGGTATTTGTTGCTGTCGGTCATCCTTCATGCTAGGTCAATTTGTATTGCCGTAAGTAGGGAGGGAAGATGCCAACAGGTACAAAAAACGAATCATTAGGGTAGAGGAGCTTCAGTGAAACATCCCCAGCAGCAGAGCACCTGAGACATGGGCTGTTTTGTCAGACAGTATTTTCTGAGGTTGCCCACAAGACATGAACTGCTTTTAAACATATTAAAGTACTGTGCCCCTGCATGCAAGCACACACCCAGTGCTTAGAGAACAGAAGCAAAGCTTGCACTGCTTCACAGTCCAGGGTGGAGAAATAGGCATATTTTAACGTTGTCCGGACCTTGCAAAGCCAGGCAGCTTCGAACCGTGCCATTTTAATAGAACCCTTTGGCTATTGATTCCTCCTGCTGCAAGAGCCTGAAAATGTAAGTAAAAAGGAAAGATTTGGTTTATTTGAACACGTAAACACTCCCTATTTCCTCTAGTAACATTACTACTTCTTCAGGTCAGCTCTTCTGAGCCTTCGCCATTTTAAACTCAGCTGTGTTAGGCTTTGCTGCTTTTCCAGTAGCCTGGGTCTGCCCACAACAGTCTTTTGGGAGCCACTGGCTCCTCAACTTTCTGTAGGCTCCTTTTCACAGCCAAAGCCTTTTGGGGACTTCAGGGGCTTTTCAGAAACAAGTACCTTCAACTGTTTTTATTGTTTTCTCTCAAATCTCCTCCAGTTATTGAGTTGGAAAGAGTCAGAGATGCACACGCTTTTGCTCACCAAATACACAATGACAACAGTCTTCATGCTTCTCCAGACTGTGCCCTTTGGCTTTCGGGGCTCCTCAGCGATGAGCTCTGTTGTGCTTATACTCAAAAAGCCCAAGAGGGAACGAGGAGCAGCCCACAGGCTGGAGGGCACTATTCTGAGAGGCCTCTCTCAGAGGCACGTCTTCACTGCAAAGTTTGGCGACCAATACCAAAGCTAGCCTCAGCCAGGTATGAGGAGCCACACTGCAGTGCCCTACCCTGGTTACCATGGCATTACTGGCACTGCACTCAAAGACGTTTTGCTAACAGCCTCCAAAATCATATTGCTTGTTGCTGCTCTGGGACTCCTTTCCTAGACAATTATGGACAAAAACATTCTTATAGGCTCCCAACAGGGTTGTGGGAAACCATTAGAGGACTACCAGCGCTCAGATAACAATGGGAAAAATGAATGCCTTACCTACCTACTTTTGCCTTTCAGCTAACAGCTCCAGATGAATCAGTTTGAAAACACTTCTGCAATGGAGACAGTCAGAGAATGAACCGCAGCTGGTTTGGGGAAGCAGATGCTGATGATTCCAAGACCACAGAAGAAAAGCCACCCAAAAAATTCTGCTCAGCCACTAAATCACTCTTTTAAATATCAGCCATTTCTGGTCACTTACAAATATTTCCAGGAAATCTCTACAGCAGCTCAGAAGAACCATATGTCTCCAGGGCTGATCACAGAGTAGCACCAGTTACTAATTACAAATGTCCAAATGTAACTTCCATATAGTAGCACTATGGTCACCATTTATTAACTTCCTTAAGGTTTATCATTAGTAATTTCAAGCTTGCAGTTTTTAATGGAGCTTCTACTTTACACATTCCACAGTGAGTATTTTTATAGCACTTGCCAAAACTCCTATTTAAATATGACTGATTTCATTTTTTACCACATGTATATTAAGAAAGGGATGTTGGTATCACTTAGGCTTTATATCCTACTTCCTGACTCCCTTGCCTTATTGTCTTGGTTATTTCATATACTTCTTACTAAGCCAAAAGCTAGTTCTCTCATAATACACATTTATCATAGTAGTTCGAAATTAAAAGATATTAAAAATAATGTGACAACCTAAAGAAACTACATCCTTTTCCAGACATCAGTATCTCACTACAATAAAAAAATTCAATAATTATGAAAATAAATTATTTTATGAAATAAATTCCATTGGCAAGCAAAACAGAAGGTATATTCTAACTGGCAAACCAGGAAAAAAATTACTAGTACAGTTTATTTGATGTTGAATTAGATTGGCAATTATGTATGTACTAAAGGCAAGAATTAAAGACAAAACAGTGCACTGGAATAAGACTTTTTGTAATTCTGCATTAAGTGGCTGTGATACCATAGTCCTTTACTTCACTTACAGCTTTCACGTGAAAACCACGTTTCCCCAACATCTGCAAAAGAATCAGGAAAACTCAGCAACCACGATACAGAGTATGTCCAGTTAGCCCACTGCCATATTGCCTCAAGGTTTCCTTTTCAGAAACGATGAATGATTAAGTTATCCAAAATTGTTTTGAAACAGTATTCTTCAGATTCTTCTCAGTATTATTCATCTTTTAGCAGACAATCCAGCCAAAATCGGTGCTTCTCCAAGCACACCATCATCTCCAAGATGTCACTACTAGAAATTGATAAATTATAGCACTTTGCAGAACAGAGCAGAACCACTTTCAAATCTCATCTTGGGAGATAAAGTATTTCTGGCCATGCATTACAGTGTTCATACAAAGACTATAAAACACCCTGCAAGACAGACATTCCCTACCTCTGTACAAAAATCTGACTAGAGCCACAGCTGGGGAAGAGCAAAAGGGAGGCAGATAGTGCTAAAAAGAGATGCCAGTCCTAGACACAGAGAAGCTGGGACAACAGCAGATGGCCAAAAGCTGTGGCCTTTATTGTGTAGGATACCCTACATCTTCTCAGACAGATTCAGAGCACAAACACCTGTTAATATAATGCCATCATTGCTAAAAGCCACCTTAACCATCAGTTTGATCACCAGCTCTAAAGGTTGAGAGATGAAATTACAAAAATTCCACTAGAAAATAAGAGAAAACATTTTGGCAGCCTGTATAATTAACCTTTAGAATATGTTAAGTAAATTCTCCATAATCTGGCACTCTAAACTGAAGTGGCAGGCCATTCAAAAGGGCTTACTTTCACACCATTTACAGGATTCAGTACATCAGAGAGAGAAATGTCCTTCACTACAGAAAAATGCTATTTTGGATAAAACAAAGACTTGACAATCAGTGTGTCTTTATAGTCTCTAAAAACAGGAAAATGAGTTAGCTTGCTCAGATGCCTTGTCCTTGCAACATGCTGAGCAGGTACTTCAGTACCTTTAACACATTTATCCTCACAACTCCCATTTTCCAGATGAGCAACTGTAAAACAGTGACTATCCCAAACTCATGAAGGAGGACTACGGCAGGGCACAGTATTGAACCTAATGCTCCAGAAGTCTCATCCACACCTTTCACACTGACATCACTTTAGAATCATAGAATCTTTGGGTTGGAAGGGATCTTTAAAGGTCATCTAGTCCAATCCCCCTGCCATGAGCAGGGACATCTTCAACTAGATCAGGTTGCTCAGAGCCCCGTCCAGCCTGACCTGGAAAGTTTCCAGGGATGAGGGATCTACCACCTCTCTGGGCAACCTGTGCCAGTGTTTCATCACCCTCATCATGAAACATTTCTTCCTTATACCTAGTCTAAATCTCCCCTCTTTTAGTTTAAAACCATTGCCCTTTGTCCTGTCGCAACAGGCCCTGCTAAGAAGTCTATCCCCATCTTTTTTATAGGCTCCCCCTCAAGTACTGGCAGCTGCAATAAGGTCTCACCGGAGCCTTCTCTTCTCCAGG